CCACACGGGTCCATCCCCCCCCAGGGATGTGTCCGTGGGCACCACCAGCTCCTGCCTGGATTTAACGGGGTGATTTGGGGCTGGGACACTTCCTAGATCTTTTTTCCCATCCCTCCCCTCCTGGGGGAGCAGGACCAGGGCTGGAGGAGGGAACAGCTCGGCCTCTCCTCAGCTCTGCCTCTGCACTGTGGAGCTGTTCCTACTCTGGGATCTCCCGTTTCTGTATCCCAAGGGGAAAACAGCGCTTGGGGTGGATTTTGCTGGATGTGCCCAGGGACACCGGGACAGGGAGGCTCAGACAGCAGCAGGTTTTGTTTTCCAGCACTTTGGAGCAGCTGGATTTATCCCAGGTGCCAGGGAGAGCCGAGTGCTGCCAGGGAGGTGGGAAGAGCTGCAGGGAGCTCTGCTGAGGGGGAGAACGGGAGATCCAGGTGGATGGTGTTGCTCCTTCATTGCCCAGCCATTCCAGGGCTCTCTCCCTGTGCACCACAAAGCCTCTGCCTTAGGGCTTAGCCCCAAACTATTTTCTCACTGCTGGCAGCTCTTTAGAACACAGGGACTAAAATTACAATTCCTCTTTCATGTTTAATCCCCTTTTTTTTTTTTTTCCCTTTCTGTCTTGGTTTGGACCTGAAAACCACAGTGGCTGCTCCCACTCCCAGCCTGCCTCTGGCATTATTTGGCCTGTGGATAAACCTGAAGTTTTGATGGGTGTTCCTGCAAAGAAACAGCCAGTGTTTGGTTCAAGGTGCCACCAAAAAAAAAAATAAATGTGGCTTTCTCAAGATTCCAAGGCAAGGTTTCATTTTTGGGCACCAGCACTGAGGTGCAGCCGTGGTTTATTATTTCAGCAGAGTCATGAATCGTGTTTGTGCCCAAAATAGTTGGATGCTGGGCTTCAATCCAGCCAAATCCCCCACAAATCACCTTCAGCTGCAAAACTCTTCCGTTGTCGTGCTGATGACAAATCAGTGGAATCCTCCCTGCCCCAGCTCAGCCAAGCTGCTGGTGCCCACTTAGAACAACCCAGTGGGTTATTCCCAAATTTCCAGCCGGGCTTTGGCTGATTTTTTGGAGGTTTCCCACCGCTTTGGACCACAAGAGGTCGGCAGAATTCCGGGGATGGGAGCCGGGCTGTGCCTTGGAACATCCCTTCCAGGGTAATTGCTCCGTCAAAAGGAACACCCCAAACTAATTACACTGGAAGGGAATCAGGGTAATTTGGGAGCAGGGCACGCATTGCCAGGGGTTTCTCGCTGCTCCACTGGCTGCCTTCACGTGCGCCCGGCGGGAATTAAGAGGGATCAGGGGCATTAAAGAGGCTCTGGCTGCTCCCCAGAGACTCCCTTAATTCCTGCCTGGTACAAAAGGTGCCGAGCTCGGGAGTTCACAGCGGGACACGAGCCCGGCCGAGGGGGGGGATGAAGGTGGGAGAGCCCCCGGTGTTAACCAGGTTTTTGTGTTTGCAGCCCCTCGGCCCCCCGGGATGGTCCCACCATGAGAAGGTGCTGCCAGGGCGTGGGGCTGCCATGCCTGTTTAAGGTCAGTCACTGGCACCTGCCTGGTCCCTCCTTTTCTCAGGGAGAGCAGGAATCGGGTCCCCATCCTGCAAACCCCACCCTGGAGCAGCCAGGGGAGGGGGGGATTGGGGAGGCCGGGCTGGGGCACCAGCTCTGCCCCGTGTGGGTAGAGGGGGTTAATTTTGGGTTTAGAGCAGGGCAGGAGGCAACTCTGAGTTCATGGAATATCCTGAGTTGGGAGGGACACACCAGGATCATCCAGTCCAGCCCCTGACCCTGCACAGACACCCCAACAGTCCCACCCTGTCCCTCAGCTCTGGCAGCCTTGGGGCTGTGCCCACTGCCCTGGGGAGCCTGGTCAGTGCCAACCACCCTCTGGGGGAAGAACCTTTCCCAAAATCCAGCCCAAGCCTCCCCTGGCACAGCTCCAGCCTCTCCCTGGCTCCTGTCACTGATCTTCTCCCCGGGATGGCTGCAGAGCCCAACCCAGGGGGGAATCTACGATGGGTGACGGAGCAAAAACCAACCTGCAGAATGCTGGGAAGAGCCAGACTCCTCCTGGCAGTCTGCAGGGACACAAATCCCTGTCCCAGGGGTGAGACAGGAGCAGGCTGGGGAGTAACCCCACAAGGCCGAGGTGTGCTGGGTCAGTGGCTGGACTCGACCATCTCAGACACCTTTTCCAACCCAAATAATTCCCTGATCCAGTGAAACACCCCAAGGTTCCTGGGTTAATGGTCAGTGATCTCAGAGACTTTTTCCAGCCCTATTAGATCCCTGATCTAATGAGACACCCCAGGGGCGCCATCCCCACGTCCTGGTAGGGATCTGTGTGCGGCACAGTGACCTCCTTGACTGCAGGAACAAGGGGATTATCGGTGACAGAATGATCCCTTCAGGGGCAGGATAAACCCCTTAGGGATGTCAGCGGGGATGTCAGCGGGATTAACCCCCGGGGCAGCGCAGGGGCACCGACGCTCTGGGTGTTGTGCTCCTTGCAGGGCGTGGGCATGGCCACCCCCCGGCCCCCCCGGTACCTGCTGGTGTTCGACTTCGACGAGACCATCGTGGCGGAGAACAGCGATGACTCGGTGGTGCGGGCGGCGCCGGGGCAGGCGCTGCCGGAGCCGCTGCGGCAGAGCCAGCGCCAGGGCTCCTACAACGAGTACATGCAGCGCGTCCTGGCCTTCCTGGGTGAGCAGGGCGTGCGCGCCGCCGACTTCAGGGCCGTCTACGAGAACATCCCGCTGAGCCCGGGCATGCCCGAGCTCTTCCAGTTCCTCTCCAAGAACCGCGAGCTCTTCGAGCTCATCCTCATCTCCGACGCCAACATGTTCGGCATCGAGGCCAAGCTGCGGGCGGCCGGCGTCCACTCGCTCTTCCGCAAGATCTTCAGCAACCCGTCCAGCTTCGACAAGAGGGGCTACCTCACCCTGGGGCCCTACCACAGCCACAAGTGCCTTGACTGCCCGGCCAACATGTGCAAGAGGAAAATCCTGACGGAATACCTGGCGGAGAGGGCGCAGGAGGAGGTGGAGTTCGAGCGGGTCTTCTACGTGGGAGATGGCGCCAACGATTTCTGCCCTTCCGTGGCCTTGACTTCGGCCGACGTGGCTTTCCCACGGAAGGGCTTCCCCATGCACAGGATGGCCCAGGAGATGGAGAAGAAGCAGCCCGGGGCCTTCCAGGCCACCGTTGTCCCCTGGGAATCGGCCACGGAGGTCGCCCGGTACCTCCAGGAGCTCCTCAAGAGGAAATGTTGAGGGAGGCTCCAGAGGGTCCTGCAAGTGGCCGGGAAAAAGAGAAGCCTGGGGTGGTCACATCCTGTGCCCCTGCCTGTCCCCGCTCCCGGGGTGTTTTCCTGCCTTCCCGAGCTCCTTCCTCCCTGGTGAATAAAGCACTTTCTCCAGGTCCCTGTCCCTCCCCTGCCACGGTGAGATGGAGCCGTCCCTGCAGCTCGGACTCCTGGGCCCCCCGGGCCCTTTGCCAACGTTATTGGGGATTGGCTGGGGTTGTGTTGCTTTTCTTCTTTTCCCTTTTGACTTCACGAGGGAATTCCTAAAAATCCAGAAGGCAGTTCCCTGCAGGCTGGGAACATCCTTCCTCCTGCCATCCTCCCAGTCACATGAGGAGCTGCCTGCTCGTGCTCAAGGGCTCCTTCCCTCTTTGTGAGCCCACTGGGAATTTCATCCAGGAAATTCATGCTCCCTGGCTCCTCCACATCCCACCCAGGCAGGGCAGCTCCAGGCCCAGCTGCTGAGCCTTGTGATGGGGTTAATTGTCCCTTGGGACTTTATTCTCTGAGAAAAACACATCATGAGAATCAGGAAAGCTTTTGGAAAGGTGGCAGCTTTGGAATAAACCTCCCCAGCCCATCCCTTCTCCTTCCCCAGGGGAGGAGGACCTGTCCTTGCCTTCCACTTCCATCCTCTGCTCCTGCTCCCAGGGGAAAGTGTCCCTGTGTCCTTGACAGGTTCCTCCTTGCCCTGAGCCATTTCCAGTCGTGTCCTTGTGCTTGCTGGATCGTGTGACCCTCCCTTTCCCCCCAGGGAGGGGAAAATTCCCCTCCTGACCTGGTGGAGGGGTGCCAGATCTCCCCAGGGGAGGTTTTGTGGTGCTGTGGCACTTCTGGCACCAGGTCCTCAGAGGCCAAACCCCCCCCTCTCCCTGTGTCCCCCCACCCCACTGCAGTATTAATTACCCCTTCTAATTGCACTCTGCAGGGGGGACCTCCAGGATCCGCTGCTCTCCGGTGTTGGCTTCTCCTGGATTTATCCACAGCCTTACCGGCCCCCGAGGGTGGCTCGTGACTCCTCCAAACCCTGGGACCCCTGACAGCAAACCCCAGCAGTAAGGAAATAACCAAAGCAGCCCTGAATTGTTCCTCCTCTTATTTCACCCCCTCCTCTCTGTTCTTCCTCCTCCGGACCCCGTTCGACTGTGTGGAACCGAAAGCCATGGAATTTAAGATACATATGTATGTATATAGATAGATATCTCTATATTGCAGAGACACAAAGTTGGTTGTATCCAGGACATAAACCTGGGCGTGAAACAGCTCTGAGTTGCACCAAAACGTTGTTTCTCTTCCTTGGGCTGGTGAAGTTGGGGAGTGGGAATGCAAGCAGGGAATCCCTCTGGACTGGGGTCTGGATCGGGGTCTGGGTCATCCCTGCTGTGGCTCAAGCCCAGGGGGACAGCAGGCAGGTTTCCAGCTCTCCTCATCCTTGGGGATGTTCAGTCTCCTGTTCCCGGGATTTCATCCTGTGCTGTTCCCAGGGGTCGGGAGCACCCCCAGGATCAGCCCTGGGACGTGCTGTGTCCCCACGTCAGAGAGCTCAGCGTGCTGGTGCTCAGCGTTCCCGGGGAGGGAGTGGGAGAGGGGGCTGCGGTCCTGCCAGGGTGCCAGCAGTGCCACCCGCTCTGCTCCCGTGCCAGTTCCCAGCGCTGCAGAGCCAGAATTCCAGGCCAGAGCGGGATGTGGCTGATCCTGGGAGGGGGCGGCCTGGCCTGGGGGCTCAGCAGGGCTCCACGTAATTCCCGGGGAAGAATCCCGCCTCCTGCCCCATAACACCCTCGCACCAGCCGTCCGAGTAGCGCCGCGTGACGAAGAGGAGGGCACCGGGCTGGAAGGAGAGCTCGTTGTCCTTCTGGCGCGTGTAGGGGTACAGGGCCACCACTGCGGGGGAAGAGAGGGACATGGGGCCTGGCAGTGCCACCACTGCGGGGGAAGAGAGGGATGTGGGGCCTGGCAGTGCCACCACTGCAGGGAAAGAGAGGGACGTGGGGCCTGGCAGTGCCACCACTGCGGGGGAAGAGAGGGACGTGGGGCCTGGCAGTGCCACCACTGCAGGGAAAGAGAGGGACGTGGGGCCTGGCAGTGCCACCACTGCGGGGGAAGAGAGGGACGTGGGGCCTGGCAGTGCCACCACTGCGGGGGAAGAGGGGGACGTGGGGCCTGGCAGTGCCACCGCAGGGGACGGGGAGCGGCGGGGACGGGCGGGATGGGGGACACGAGCGGCATCGCAGCGTGGGGCAGAGCTGGGCCCTCAGTGCTGCGCCTGCGGGTGAGGGCTCAGCCAAAATCCATCCAGGGGATGTGGGGATCCACCGCACCTTTCTCCAGGTAGTTCTCTGGCACCCAGGAAGGCTCCTCTGAGGCAGGGGGTGGCGGTGGCGGGGCCAAGTCCTCAAAGTCGGGCAGAGCTGATGGTGGCTCCAGGTCAGCGGGGGCTGCAAAACCCCCCAGACGGGCGAGGGATGAAGGGCTCGGGGGGGCAGGGGTCACACGCAGCCCCCCGTGTCCCCCCGAAGCCCCCTGGAGCACCGAGCACTCACCTGGGGGCGGCAGGTCCGGTGGGGGCACGGCCAAGTCCTCTGGGGGGGGCGGTGGGAGCAGAGCCCCGGGGAGAGGGGGCGGCGGGGGGATGGCAGCGGCAGGGGGTGGGGGTGGCCCTGGCAGGGATGGCCCCGGAGCGGGGGGTCCCGGCAGGGAGGGCAGCGGCGGCGGGGCCGGGATTCCTTCACCAGGAGCTGCTGGGGCTCCGCTGGAGCTGGGGATGGAGGAACAGCCGTGCCAGGGTTGGGGGCTGGCCCTGCCCCCCACTCTGAGCACAGACACTTCGCCCGATGCCAGGGCAAGGCGCCCCTGGGCACCGTGTGGCAGGGGATCCTGCATCTGTGTGCAAACCCTCTCCCCACCCACCCTGTGCCTCATTTTCCCCAGCAGGGACCCTCTCCAGGACAGGATATTTCCTCTCCAGGACAGGATATTTCTGCTCCAGGGACAAAGCCCTGCCAGGAGGACCAAATCTCCCAAAGGCCCTGATCTTTCACTTGGTGGTAGAACCTCCCCCCAGCACCAGCAGCAGCCGCAGCGTGGCAGGGGCTTGTCCTGGGCCTCTCCCGAGCTCCCAGATCTTCCCAGACATTCCTGAGCGCCAGTACCTGAGGGATGCCAGGGAGGAGGTGGAGGAGGCTGCGGAGAGCTTGCCCTCGGGCACCACGGGCGGCTGGATGGGCTCAGGGACGCGGGCGCTTCTCCTGCGGGCAGAGTGTCCAGCTGGCAGCTCGGCACGGGGGCCACACCACTCGGGTGACACGGAAAGGCCGTGCCCACCCCCCAATCCCACAGCCATCCTCACCCCAGGGTGCCCACGGCCTGCGCCGACGACTTGGTGCCCTTCCGAGCCAGGGTGCCGGTGCGGGACAGCTGCGTGCTGTGGTCCTGCGGGCGGGGGCACGGGGAGATGTGACGGGTGACATCGGCACCCCCGAGTCCCTGCTGGCCCCCCCAGCCCCTCCCAGCCCCCCGTGGGAGCGGCCCCGCGGAAGAAGCCGGCACTGTGGGGGCGGCCACGCGGCACCAGCCACCGTGGGAACCGCGGGCCCGGTGTCACCACTTCCCTTGTGTCTGAGGGGCCTCTGAACCCCCTCCCGTGGGTGCCTTCCGGGGCCGGGAAAGGGACTATGGGGGTGAAACCTCCCCTCTGGATGTCTGATGAGCCCACCCGTGCCCCCGTCAGTGCATCAGGGCCCCCCACCCGAGCCCCCCCAGCCCCGTGGGACCCCCTCCTGCCCCAGGCTCACCTTTATGCCGTGGCCAATGTCATCCAGGACGCTGAAGTTGAGGGGTTTCCTGTAGTAGGGCTCCAGGCTGGGGGGGTTGGGGGGAGCCACAATCTTCTGGTAGGGCGGGAACCTCTTGGTGACGGTCAACGAGCCGATCTCCCGGCGGGACACCTTCTCCTTGTGGATGTCCACCCTCTGTGGAGGTGACGCTGTGCCCATCGTCCCAGCCTGGCCTCTCCCCACCTCCTGCTGCCCCCTCCGAGTCCCACCGCCCTCCCCAGCCCCGTGGCCCTGCCTGGAATGGAGGGGATGCACTGGAGGATGGGGATTGGGCCCAAGCCTGCAGGGACCGCGGGTCTTCAACCCCTCGGAGCTGCCCGGACCCCCTTTCCTGGAGCCCACCCCAAACCCCTCGCGGGGGACGGTCCCACCTGTGCCACACAGGTGACATCGGCCTCCACCTGGCGCAGCTGGGCCGCCTGCAGGTCCAGCAGCCTCAGGAAGGCGGTGGCCAGGCTGCTGACCTGGTAGGTGACACTGGCCAGGGACTGGGTGCTCAGAGCCATCGTCTCCTCCAGCGCCTTCCGCTTGTCGCTGGCCTGGTGGGGGAAACCCAGCCTGGAGCTCACCCCACACGGCACTGCCACCCTCCACGCTGCAGTCACACGGCAGCACAGATGCCTCTTCTGCTTTCCAAATGCATCAAACTTCCTCTGGCTCCACTGGCCAGACACAGCGACACCCGGCAGGGGGGTGGATCCTGGTACCAGGGATCCACCGGGAATCCTCCCCGGGATGCTGATGCTTTTGGCAGGTGCTGGAGTGGAGTGCCCGGCTCAGCCTCCTGCCACCCTTGGGACAGCTGGCCATGCCACCATGTCCCACCCGTGGGACACCTGGCCAGGCCAGCAGCTGTGCCAGGGACGGTGTCTCAGTTCTCTAAACAGCTCCTCACATTTCCCCTTCAGTTCTGCTCCAGTGGCTCCAGCCCCCTGGGAGCAGCACTGGGGTCTGGCTCGAGCCAGCAGGGCCACAGACAGGTTTGGCAAAGATCCCTCCAGCAGAGACACCCCTCCCTCCCACAGCAAATAGGGCCAGAACGAGCCTTTTTATCCCTGTTTCACCCCAAAAGCTCCTGTCCCCCTTCCCTCAGTGGGGGCCAGGCAGGGGGGAGGAGGATGGCAGCAGAGCTTCAGCTTCACTCTCTCTGCACGTGCAGGCACCCAGCTCTGCCCCACAGGAGACACCTCGGAAACCCTGGGGACAGCCCAGGACAGCCTGGTGTCCCTGGTCCTCTCCCTTCATCCCAAACCCACCACGAGGGCAGCTGCGGAGCAAGAGGGGAAACTGAGGCAGGAGGAAGATGAGCCAGAGGTGGGAGATGCTCAGGTGGAAGCCTGAACTAGTGAGTGAGGGCTCCCAGCTCTGAGGGCAAAGCGCTCCCCACCAGCCACCCCTCCAGGAGCACCATCCCACCATCCCGGGGCTCCGCGTGGTCTCAGCATCCCAAGCCCACGGCTGGCCGGGGTTGTCCCGCTCGGTCCCCGCCCGTGGCGGTGCCCCCACCTGCAGGTAGTTGCTCTCGCAGTACTCGGCGACCCTGTGCAGGTTGGCGTGCTGCTCCCGCAGGCCCTGGCGGCCCGCGGGGATGTCTCGCTGCCGCAGCCGCTCCAGCTCCGACATGCTGCCGGGCTCTGCTCGCACTTCCTCCGCGGCCGCCCCGCCGCTGCTTCGCAGGCTCCTGCCGGTGCTGACGCAGGGCCCGCGGGCGCCGCGGTGTCCCCGTCCCCTCGAGGGACACCCCGCGGCCCCGGCAAGGAAAAGTGGGAAGGAAGCCGGCGTGGCTCCGGCCCCACGAGGGACGCGTGTGAGGGGCTGCCCTGCCCGGGGCAGGGGATGGGAGCGGTGAAGGATGTGAGTCACGGGGGAAACGGCGGGGCAGGGTGGGGGGAAGTGACCCAAAAT